CACGCAAACACACAGAGAGGAAGACTGAGCCAGAACAATGGTGTTCAAACAGAGTCCATTTCATTCAGAAGAATTTAACAGTGCAACATTCATTATAACAACAAGGGAATCACAAGGATCATTCGTAGTGAGCTTCTAAATATCTCATGTTCGAGCTGCGTCCAGGAGTACCTTAAAAAGGTAAAGGTAAAGGTTCCCTTGCTCGAAAGCCAGTCGAATCTGACTCTAGGGTTGCAGTGCTCATCTCCGTTTCAAAGCCGAAGAGCCAGCGCTGTCCGAAGACGTTTCCGTGGTCATGTGGCCGGCATGACTAAACACCAAGGCGCATGGAACACTGTTACCTTCCCACAGAAGTGGTACCTGTTTATCTACCTGCAATTTCTTGCTTTCGAACGGCTAGGTTGGCAGGAGCTGGAACTAGAGACGGGAGCTCACTCTGTCTGGCGGCACCTGGGTCTCGAACTGCTGAACTACCGACCTTCCATAGCCTGCAGTTCAGCGTCTTAACCACCTGAGCCACTGCAGCTCCTTCTAGGAGTACCTTAGAGACCAACAAGACGTTCAGGGTGTGAACTTTTGAGACTCAAAGCTCCCTTCATCAGATACCTTTAGTCAGGGAGCTTTGATTCTTGGACAGGTTAAACCCTGAAAACCATGTTGGTCTCTTCAGGTACTGCTGGACTTGAATCCAGGTATTCTCCTGCAGACCAACACGGCCACCCTCTAAAACTAAATATCTCACGGATGCCCTTATGATAAAAAGAAAGGAGGAGTCAGCTGTTATCTGCTAAAATATCGTTTGGTAGGAACTATCAGACAGAAATCTGAGATCTCCTGCTGCTAGTTCTTACCCCCTGCTGGAAGACCAGTTGGTGAACGGCGGCTTCAAATTCAGCTTGCGCCGTTACCAGGAATCCCAGCAAGAATACAACAACTGTTAGGGATTTTCAGTTTGGCGTTCAAAAAAGAATCCTGTGCTCTGCAGAGACTCAGCCTTTGCCTGCTGTAGGCAGACACAGCTGATGGAAGGCCTCTGAACCACAAAAAGATCTGCAGCAGGGCTGCGATAATTAATTAACCAGTTAGACAGATTGATTAAAAACCTTTTGAGCCATTAAAACAGTACCCCTATTAATCAAGGAGGTGATTTAATTGAAAAAAAATATGTTTGACTGTTTTTAATATGAGTGCTGACTAAAATCGTTAGTGGCAGGCACCATTTCACACACAAAAAAGGAGTTTCCGCTTCTGTCCCTCTCGAGAAAGGAAATTATGCTCCTTCAGCAGCACCTGCTGCCACGTATTTCTGCGCCATTTAAACATAAAACATGTTTCGTTTCCTCCAGAAAGGGCGTGTTCATGTTCATGCAAAAAACATGCAGATTTAGTAATCGAACAAAACCAAAGAATCGTTAATCAAGCCCTATCTTTTAGATGCCTTGACCTGGATGGCCCAGGTTCTTCATGTTGGCTAATCCAGGCTGGCCAATCTCGTCAGATCTCAGGAGCTAAGCAGAGTCGGCCCTGACTAGTACTTGGATGGGAGACCTCCAAGGAATACCAGGGCTGTGACGCAGAGGCAGGCAATGGCAAGCCACCTCTGACCATGTCCTGCCTTGGAAACCCTACAGGCTCACTCACCGTTAAGTCAGCTGCAAGTTGACAGTATAACACACACACACACACACACAACATTTAGACAGCCCACTGTTTTCCTCAAGAGCGGCATCGTGTGCTGCGATGGAAGGCAAGAAGTCCTGTTCCACTGATGGGAATGCCATCACAGGCTGTGGTCACACGGAGCATTAGGCACGCTAGAGAGATGGAAGATAGGCGGATTTTCCGGGTGCGATCTCACTGCCACATCTGGGAAGTGTAGAGCTCCCTTGGCTCACCCGAGGCTTCACTCTGAAGATGCGCGGTAAAAAACTAGTACCTCGGAGGTACTAGTTTCCGGAAACCGCGGGGCAAGGGCGGGCGTGTGATTGCGTTTCCGGTGGAATCCCATGGCATCTGAAGCCCACCCATGTCCCCTCGCAAAAAGGTTTTTTCCCCCCAAGTGTCCTCGGGATGCGCACAAGCACCCAACGGGGCATGCACCCATGTAGGTGTACAGAAAAAACCTCACCCGTTTGCCGCGGCGCGGCGCTTCTTTGCCGCGCCGCAGGATTGTGGTGTGATCGGCACCTCCCCCCTACCACGGGACCTCCACGGGATGTCTACTCGCGCAACCATGCGTTATTTTGCCCCGGGGCAAACAGCCACGCTCCCCCTCTGCATTTTCCTGCCCGTGTGACCGCAGCCACAGTTGATGGGGATTTACTGTGGTACCCAGACCTGTATTTTCACAGTACTGTAGATCAATGCTCCCTCTAAGCCGTGTGGTCTTGTGAGCAAAAATTCCAGTTTGTGAGCCACTGGCATTAAAGTTGTGAGCGAGCGATTTGGCTGCTGCATAAATTAGTTTGCTCTGGAGCTTCCTGAGCGAAGACAAAAAAACGGTCAGCCAGCTCACGCTAGCTCAGCTTAGAGGGAACACCACTGCAGATACACATTCTCTAGTGAAAACTATCCATTTATCTTCATTTTCCTCATGGATTTATTTATTTTTATTTTATTTATCAAATTTATACCCTGCCCTCACCACTGAAGCAGGCTCAGGGAGGCTACCAAAGAATTAAAACACATAGATAGTCACTAAAACAATCATGAAGCCTTCTGAAAACAATCCAATACAGGGAGGTTCCATTTAGCCAGCACGACTAACAGATATTTATTCATTTATACCCCGGCTTTCTTGCCATTCAGGATCCAAAGAGGTTGATATCTCTCTCCTCTCCTCTGTTCTACCCTCTGCCTTATGAGCAGTGTTCCCTCTAAGCTGAGTTAGTGTGAGCTAGCTCACCGTTTTTTGACCTCTGGCTCACACAATTTTTGTCTTAGCTCAGGAAGGAGGGCTCCAGAGCAGACTAATTTATGTACTAGCCAAATGACTTGCTCACAACTTGAATGCCAGTAGCTCACAAAGTGAAAATTTTGCTCACAGGGCTCCACAGCTTAGAGGGACCATTGCTTATGAGCCAGGTTAGGCTGATAGTCTGTGACTGGCCCAAGGTCACCCAGCAAGCTTTCATGGCAGAGTGGAGATTCGAACCCAGGTCTCCTGGAGCCTAGTCCAGCACTCTAACCACTACCCCACACTGGGTAGCAACGGTGGCAATACCATCGGGATTCGGGATCGCCCTGAGAAGCTCAGCCATACATTGTGCGGCATGAACAACGTGGGATGGAACGATCTGCTGGACAGTGGTACCCAAAACGGGGCTGACTGGAAGAGGCCACCATAACACTCAGGACCATCTTGTCTACCGAAAGCACTTTATTATTGTTATTACTGTATTATTGTTATGATTTTACTGTTTTACTGGGTTTTATACATGGGCTTCTGCCCCCTTGTTAGCCGCCCTGAGCCCGCTTGCGGGGAGGGCGGGATAAAAATACCTAAATAAATAACTAAATCAACCCTCATACCGCACAAGGTTTTTCTATCATTCTGTGTGTGATGTAGGGAGGGGCTTCGGGTTCACAGAGCCTGCTTGGCATGCAGAAGGTCCCCCGGCATCTCCAATTAAAAGGATCAAGTAGCAGATTGATGTGAAAAGACCTCATCCCAATACCCTCCAGGGCTGCTGTCAGTCAGCGTGGACAGCCCTGACCTTGACTAGCCAATGACCTGATTCGTTATAAGCCGGGGATGAAAAGAGGAAATAGAGACTTGTATGGTTGTGTCAACTCCTGCTCAGCACTGCTACCAAAAATCCACCCAGTTTTAGTCTAAGGTCCGCAAATGGCACAGTTATTTGTCTCAAATCCCAGCAATCCAAAACTCCCCCCCCCCACACACCATTATCCATCTGCAGTACATCAGGAAGGCCGACAGGAACAGCATGAGCAGCAGAACAAAACGCTGGGCTTTCTAGTGTAACTAATCTTATCCGTTTCTCTTTCATCCCTTTTACTGCCCATCACCTTTCTCCACTTCCATTTACTGCAGCAAGGCTAGGGTGGTTTTGTAGCATGGGGGGGGGACGGGCTAAAAGTCCAGGAAGCAGAATCCTTTGTTTTGTGACTGCAAATCTATAAAGGAAGGTCCTTGGAAGGTTCCGATAAAGAAAGAAGGTTCCCCAAGTTGGCCCAACAAGCCTAATTCGGGGGGGGGGGGGCTCCTGGCCCCACTGCTGGACCTCCTGATGGCACCTGGTATTTTTGGCCACTGTGTGACACAGAGGGTTGTACTGGATGGGCCATTGGCCTGATCCAACATTGGCTTCTCTTATGTTCTTATGACAGTCATGCTAAGGCCATGCTAAGTCTCTACTTCGGCATCCCTGACTGGTGCCTCTCCCAGCCTCCTTCGGTAGATCGCTAAGAGAACCTTGTATATTTCTGGCTGACCTTGTTCTGTCGTTTGACGGTTCTTGACAGCCAGGAATTATTTGTTGTGCTTAATCTGAATTGTCCTCCTTTATCATTTGAAGCAACTACTTTAAAGCTGGGATGAATCATGTGGTGGTCAAAAAGCCAGCACGGTGTGGGGGTTAGAGAGTCAGACCAGAATTTGGGAAATCCAGGTTCGAAATCCAGGTTCCTCCTGGCCCATGGCTACAGTGGGGCTATTTGGGGCTCCGCCCCCTTCCTTAAAGGGACAGCCCCCACAAGACAGCACGAGACAGACCCCTTGCGCTGAAAGAGACTGTCCCCCCCGGGTGCTCTTGTGGCCACGATCCTGTGCAGGTTGCCTTGAGAAGGGGCTTTGCTTGTTGGGAAGGAGCCCGCAGGACTTGCCCGCCGGGGAGAGGAATTACAGCTAAGGAGTGGTGGGGTGAGGATGTAGTGGGGAGCTGTTTTTGTTTTTTTACTGTAAAATTCAAGCCCCACCCCCCAAAAAAAATTGCACCACAAGCCACAAAATCCTGGTTATGAGTCTGGGTTCTCCCCTCTGCTCTGGAGGCTTGTTGGGAGATTGCAGGCCAGTCTCAGCCTCAGTATAACTTGCCTCATGGTGGAGGTTAAGAAGGGGAGAATGTTGTTTCAGAGGTTAGCTGTGTTGGGCAGAAGAAGAAGAAGCCAAAGAAGAAGAAGAAGAAGAGGAGGAGCAGAAGGAGACTGGATTTAGACCCCGCCCTTCACTACCTGAAGGAGTCTCAGAGCGCGTACAATCTCCTTTCCCTTCCCCTCCCCACACCCTATGGGGTAGGTGGGGCTGAGAGAGCTCTCTCGAGGACTGCCCTTGAGAGAACAGCTCTGAGAGAACTTGTGACTGACCCAAGGTCACACGAGCAGCTGCATGTGGAGGAGTGGGGAATCAAACCCGGTTCTCCCAAATTAGAGTCTGCACTCCTAAGAAGAGCTAGACTCCTGACATCCTAGTCAGAAGGTGACAGGGGTTTAGCCAAAAAAAACAAAATCAGGAGGTACAATGACCTTTGTAATCAGCTTAATTAGAGCACAGAGGAAATCCTTGGGAGAGGAAATTTAGCATCTGTAATGAGATAAGAATCCTGTATCCCTATTCAGCTCTAGGGCGTCCATTGTTTTGAATTTGTGAATGATCTCAAATTCAGCAATCTCCCCTTGAAGCTTCTGCTTGAAGACTGCCACTCTTTGGTCAGCAATGGAATGACTGGGAAGATTAAAGTGTTCTCCCACTGGCCGTTGAGTGTTGTGATTTTTAATAGATCCAGTTGGTCAGCCGTGTTGGTCTGAAGCAGTACAACAGATTTAGAGTCCAGCGGCACCTTGAAGACCGACAAAGGTTTATTCAAGGTATGAGCTTTCGTGTGCACACACACTTTATCAAATATGACAAACTGATAAATATTTAATAAAGTGTGCATGCACGAGAAAGCTCATACCTTGAATAAACCTTTGTCAGTCTTCAAGGTGCCGCTGGACTCTAAATTTGTAGTGATTTTTAATGTTAGCTTTATGGGGGCGGTATTTTTTTGTCGTGTATGTGTGCGCGCACGTGCATCTGTCTGCACCTGGAAGTCACGGTGACCTCTGGTGACCGACCCCTACTGGGGGCCTGGAGGATATCCAGAGAGGTGACTGAATAAAGCCTGTCTCTGTCCTCCCGACTTGATATTCCAAGGAAGTCTCCCGTCCAAGGACTTGCCAGAGTCGACCCTGCTTAGCTTCTGAAATCTAATGAAATCTGGGCTATCTGGGTCAGGGCGATATTAGAAGAAGAAGAGAAGAGAAGAGATTGGATTTATACCCCGCCCTTCACTTGGAGTCTCAGAGCGGCTTACAAGCTCCTTTCCCTTCCCCTCCCCACAACAGGCACCCTGTGACGTAGGTGGGTCTGAGAGAACTCTGACACAAACTGCTCTTTTTCAAGGACAGCTGTGCCAGAGCTTGTGACTGACCCAAGGTCACATCAGCAGGTGCATGTGGAGGAGTGGGGAATCAAACCCGGTCCTCCCAGATTAGAGTCCGCGCACTTAACCACTACACCAAACTGGCTCTATGGATTTATATCCATTTATTCTTCTGCATAGGGGAGAATGTTGTAAGGAGAGAACGCTTTAAGCCAATTTGGGTCCTCACCGGGGAGAAAAGTGAGGCATAAATGAAGCAAATTTACCAGGGACCACACACTGGGGCTTCCTTCACTGTGGGAATGAAAAAAAGATCTGAGGACAAGCACAGGGCGGGTGGGCAGTGATGGGTGACAACCGTCTAAGCAAGTGTCTACTACCTGTACTCAAGTGCTTTGGAAAGTTCATTCAACATTCACACAGTGCATTTAATACAGCAAACACCACTGGCCGAAGAGACTGCCACAAATTACCAAGGAGCCCCAATTGACGTTCTCTCGGGGCGAGCCGGGCCTGAAACTGAACGCATCCCACCGCGCACACATCTTGTTTAACTTTTGCAGGCAGAAACTCGACTTACTTTGCCCAATTGTGCCTCATACAGGTAGATGACGCTCCTTTGGCAGGCGTCGTCATAACAGGCTGGCAGTAAGTGCTCGGTCTGTCCATCACCATCTGGCAAAACAAGAGGATTAAAAAATATATAATTCTGCATAAAACACCCTTTTTATCAGGAGGGGGGGAACCCCTCCCGGCAGACTCGCAGAGAGACAATGCATTTTGAGTGAATGTAAACGAAAGAATGTGTCAAGATAATTAAAAAGATAACACGGTAATCTGGAGCTCTGTCAGACGGTTATCTTGCCTTTCGGATCATTCCCGTGACAAGAGATTGCCACCCGTCTCCCTGTTAAACACTGAAGGTTATTCATACAGGTTAGACTTAAGTCTTCTGCAAACGGAAAGGGGGCTTTTGCTGCTGCGACTCCTTGCTCACATTGCCCCCAGCTGCTTGTAAGTCGGGAGGGCCTCCAGAACAGTACGTGCGTGTAGAAGGTCCTCCCAGGTTCAATCCCCGGCATCTCCAGTGAAAAGGATCAGGTGGGAGGTGATGCGGAAGACCGCTACCTGAGACCTTGGAGAGCCAATGCTAGTATCAGTAGACAGTACTGACCCCGAGGGACCAATGGTCTGATTTGGTACAAGGCAGCTTTACGGGCATGTGCAATAAGGGGGGGGGGAGATATGGAATTGGAATGAACGGCTTCTCCGCTTGCAAGCCAACTTTTGCTCCGTTTACGAACACATGAAGTCAGACCAGTGGTCCGTTCATGAACATATGAAGTCAGACCCTGTACCTTATTGCACAGGGGGAATATGGAATTGGAATGAACGGCTTCTCTGCTTTTAAGCCAACTTTAGCTCCTTTCACATATGAAGTCAGACTGGTGATCCAGCTAGGTCAGTACTGCCTACTCCAGTGGTACTCAGTCCACGGTTGTTAGCCGAATTGCTTTATTTACAGTAACTGGCAATTTATAAACTGGTTCTTGCCAACTATGCCAAGGTCCTGTTCCCACCAAGGGTTACCAGAGAAGGAGTCGAGGCTGGTGTTGTTAAAATAGATGTCTTTTACTTAAGAAAATAAATCTCATACAAACAATACTGATGCACCCACACATTCAATCAAGTTCCTTAGAAATACAGTTGCATTAGCAGGTAGGGTGATGCTGGGCTATACTTATCTGTCTTCGCAGCTTGGTTGTTCCAATGAAGAATGGATGGGAAGAAATAGAGATCTAGGGAGTATTAACACACGACCAGAACCAGCCAGAACGTGTGGGTCTCTTGACTGCAGATCAAGAGATCAGAGCAGAGGCAAGGGTTTGGGGATAGCAAGTGGGACTCAAGGGGAGTATAAAGCAGACAGGGGTTGTTGCGGAGGTTGCAAGCTAGGAAGGGCCAGGTGAATGGTCCTTTCCTTTTATAGGTGGTCCATTGGGTGGGAGGTAACTGTTCCAACCTGTGGACCCACCTTCCTGTTAGTCCATCCCAAAACTAATCCTCTTGGTTAGCTATAGGAGTGGGAGGTTGCCTAGAGGAGTTGCCAATATTGAAATCTAAAACCTTACTCAAGGAAGACATTCTCAAGAAGAGCGTGTATAATTTAACAACAGTGTATCAGAATACTGAATCGTAAAGATACCCCCATATATATGATGTTCAATTTATTACTATTGAGGATTTCAGTTAGAAAGATTTGTCGGAAAATGTTATATAGTTGCAAGATCCTCAGATATATGGTCAAAACCTGAAGAGTAGTATTGTTTAACTATGTATATATTGTATACTTGAATAACTTTTGGCACAATACATTAAGGTTTTACTCATCCCGGTGAGTGTTGTGCAATATATTGAACGTAATCCTGCAAGATTAAATTGACTCATTTATGAATAATCATGAGGCACATCACTTTTTATGTAACTATAAAGACCTTTTAAAAAAACTCTCATTACTGTTAACTTTTTAAAAAGGTAGCTTTTCAGAGACTGTGCTTTATTTACATATTTAGATAGCCTGCTTTCCCAAAAAGGGTCATTGGTTTAGCCTCTCTCAGAAATACAAGAAAATCTTCAATACTTGTGCTAACTTGCTTTCCGTTTTCCTTTCCCACCCACTGCGATAACTTTTATGCCTCAATTTGGATTAATTTTCAATTTAAATAAAACCCTCCCAAGGCCTTGTCCTTTTTAATTAGGGATGTAAATACCACAGCAGGAGGTGGCAGGGATGGGAACATTACGTTAACACATCTTCTCCACCTCAATCAACTTTCTGGAGCTTACAGAAAATTTGACTGCATCACCCTGCCACACTTATTAAGGAATATAAAACTTGTAGATGACAGCAGAACCATTCGACCTACACCTGACTAATTGAAAGCTGCAATAGTCACAAATAATTTAGCAGGAAGTGTTTGAGGTAAAGGCTGGGATTCAGAAAGAGTATTGAGTGCACACACATAAAAGAAGCACATGATTAGAAGGACTGTAGTATTTCCCCCCCTTCTGCCTGAATTCCTATGCATCACATCAAGTACCACTCGAGGAGGGGCCATGGTTCAGTGGCAGAGCATTTGCTTGGCATACAGAAGGTCCCAGGTTCAAATCCTGACATCTCCCCAGGTTTAATCTCCCAGTAGAAAACAGTGAATTCTTGAAACGACCACTACTGAAAGTTAAAGCAGAAAGTGCCAAAGCCAGATTACAGCTGAAAATCAAGAAGACCAAAGTAATGACTACTGGGGAATTGTACAACTTTAAGGTTGAGGATGAAGAAACTGAAATTGCTCCAGGTTTTCTACTCCTTGGCTCCATCATCAATCAAAAGGGAGACGGCAACCAAGAAATCAGAAGGAAAGAAATCAACAGGAAAGAAGAGAGTTTAAAAATAAATAGGGCATGGTTTCCTGTCCTGAAAAACACAAAAGGCTCTACATCTGACAGTAGCACTACAGATAAGATTAGAAGCTCAACAGCCAATCCACATACAAAAGAACCTCCTCAGGAAAGCTTCTCCATTAGCATGTCACAGCCTGGGGAACGCCTACAAGATAATCACTCGGCCCTACCCCACCTTCCTGAGGAGATATAAATTACCTGCCTACCTTTTCTTCTCACCTTGACACAGAGAGTACTCCATCTTTCTGTGTTATACCTCTGAGGATGCCAGTCACAGCTGCTGGCGAAACGTCAGGTCCTACAATGCCAAGACCACGGCCACACAACCCGGAAAATCTACAACAACTAATGAACGCCGGCCGTGAAAGCCTTCGACAGCAAATCAGAAGGAGATTGAGACTGGGAAGGGCAACCATGAAGGAGCTAGGAAAGATTCTTACATATAAGGATGTGCCACTGGCAAGCGAGAGCAAGTTAATTCACGCCATCGCATTCCCCGTGACTATGCATGGGTGTGAAAGCTGGACAACGAAGAAAGCTGACAGGAAGAACGTTGATTCCCTTCAAGTTTGGTGTTGGAGGAGACTTTTACGGATGTCGCAGACCATCCGAAAGACAAATAAGTGGGTTCTAGATTAAATCAAACCTGAACTCTCCCTAGAAGCTACAATGACTAAACTCGGGCTATGGTACTGGGTCGCATTATGAGAAGACAAATGTCACTGGAAACGACAATAACCCCTGACAAGTTGTTCCATTGTAAATACAAAGCTACTCCCTTGTGTTGGAAAGGTTGCAGTAATAAAGGCACATTAGTACACTGCTGGCGGGATTGTCCCCGAATTAAAAAGTTTTGGACTACGGTCATTGCTGAAATAAAGAAAAGTGGTGGAAGAATCCCCTGGATACAATATTTCCAAGTCCACCATACCTTAAAAGACATTGTCAGTAACTCTAATTTAGAAAGGGATTTGCTACCTTTTGAAAGATTTTTGAAGAATAGAGATATGATCCTAAAGGTTTATTGGCAACAATTTATGCTCAACTACATGATCGTCTCTGGAGGGGCTCTTCGTCGACCATGGAATCCTGGCAGAAGGATTGCGGAGTTACCTTTACAGAGGTGCAATGGCGGACAATTTGGTCTTCCAGTATGTTTAAAACTAGAGATATGAATTTGAAATTACAACACTACAAATTATTCGCAAGGTGGTACCTTACCCCTGACAAGTTGTTCCATTGTAAATACAAAACTACTCCCTTGTATTGGAAAGGTTGCGGTAATAAAGGCACATTAGTACACTGCTGGTGGGATTGTTCCCGAATTAAGAAGTTTTGGACTACAGTCATTGCTGAAATAAAGAAAATAACTAACTATGAGATTCCAAATACACCTGCATCTCTTTGGTTACATTTTTGGCCAGGTCTGAAGCTGTCTAAACAGAACAAAGAGTTAATTTCTACTATGCTAATGGCTGCAAAAAACTTAATGGCTTTAAGTTGGAAATTGTCTAAGGTACCAAATCTGTCACAATGGAGATCTAAACTGTGGGACTTGATAGTTTCAGATAAAGTCGCTATGCAGTTAATAGCTTTTGACAATCCGAAAGGTGTTAATAATTTTTTGGAAAAATGGTTTGTGTTCTTTGAATATCTTACTGCTTGTCAACCCCGATTATATGCACTACCTCAGAAATATAGAGACTTTGTGTTTTATTAACAAGTATTGTGCGTATGGATAACATTTCTCTTCTTGTTTATTAGATGTTGTTGAATGATACTGTATACAACTAACAAGTAATACAGGATGTAAAAATATATAAAACTAAAAAAGGGAGAGGTGGCGCAGGCGGTAAGACGCCTGTTGTAACATCATCAGCGAACAGCCACTATGGCTGTTTGAGACCCACCGCAGCTGGGGTGGGTCCTAGTCCCAGCTCCTGCCCACCCAGCGGTTCGAAAGCGTACTCGCAAGTAGATAAATGGGTACCTGCCCCTAGGTGGCAGGGGGCACCGGCGGAGCAGTTGGTGACCCGGTGACGTTGGGTGGCGACGGAGCCCGGATGGAGGCAGAGCTGTGGCGGCGTGATGACGCAGCGCGGCGGAGCCTGAAGGGACGAAAGCTGGAGCTGCGGTTGGCGCGCGGCCACGTGCTGAAGAAATCCATCAGAAGCCCACCGGAAGAAGTCGTCGACCCATCCTAGGGCGCCGGG